CAAGGTGCTAGGCTTCCAACTAGAGCCTAGGCGCAGCCTCAAGTGTCTTAGTTTTTGTGTCATCTAAAAAATTTCGAAAAATTTTGAAAAATTAATAAAAATGTCTAAAATTTTTTTTAAATAAATTTACAAAGGGTTGAATTCAAATCGTTACTCTGAGAAAGGAGAATGCACTTATATGTGATTGAAAATCCAAGTACATCTAAATTTTTTTAAAAAAATAAAAAAAGTAATTTTTTCATCTTCATTGTTATTAACTTTCTAAATATATTAAATATATGAATATAGTATATAATATGTCTAACTCAAAAAGTTTTTTAAAGGATTTATTTAGAAATTTATTTTTTAATTAATATTGTTTAAAATTTATTATTAAATTAAAAATTATATTTGTGTAGATATATCAATTTTTATATTACTTTAACACTTATAATATTTTGCATTAATGTTGAGATCTGAAGGTTGATATGTTTGAATCCTAAAAAATTTAATTACTTGTGAAGTCAAATGCTTTTTCCATTCAATCAATTAATTTGGCATGTGAGCTGAGGAAAAAAATAAAAAATTCCCAAGTTGTGTTATTTTTGCCCATTGAAGTCCCAGTCAATGCCAGGTGGGTATTAGTTAAGGAGTAAATAGAAAGGTAGATGGAAAGTTGACGTTTTATGATGTCCTCGTCAAGAAAAGGGCTGATTTGCAAGTTTTTATCGAGTTGAAGGGCTGATTTGCCCTACTTTTAAGTAGAGGGACTGATATGCAACAACAATTGAGGTAGAGGGGTTGAATTGCACCTTCTACCTTAACGAAAGGCATAAGGTGCCTTTCAGCCCCTCTACTTCAATTATTGTGGCACATCAGCCATCTACTTAAAAGTAGGGCAAATCAGCCCCTTTACTCTACCAAACTTGTAAAGCAATCCTTTTGCTGATGATGACATCATAAAACATCAACTTTCCATTTGCCTTTCTATTGTCCCATTAATTACGGATGACTTGGTAATGACTTGGATGAAGATGAATGAATTAATAATCATTTTAATTATTTATTAAATCATAGTATTTACAAATTACATAAAACCCATCTAGCATCAACTTCTTCCCCAATTTTTTTCGATCTGTTTTCTCGATCCTCTCCCATCAACCCTAGTTCTAAATCCTAGACCCCTCATCTTGAATCCAAGCTTCAACTTCACTCTCACTTTTCAAAAGGTTAAATACCCTTTTTGGTCCCTCTACTATAAGA